GGGGGGGGGTTATAGGTGCCTCTGAGAGACAAAAAATTCCTGTCGCCTTTGAATCTAAACTCTGTGTCAACTCTCCACTCGAGCCAGTCGTCTCCTGTTTCATAATCGTGCTTGGTATTACTCTTCAATCCTGGTAAGCTATCTGATGATGTGGCTGCTCATTGACTGAGGTAAACCAATTTTCTGTGCAAAGTCTTTAAAGTATTTCAAATGCTGGAGATGACAAAGCCCAAGTTTGCCTGTTAAAAGCCCTTAACACCACAACGTTTACTTTAGCTTCCTGGGGGGAATCCTAGTCCCAAGCGGCTGCTCAAGTCATACAGACAGACTCACTCGCACGTGCACACACACACACACACACATATCTTATCATCCAAGGCTGAGGAAGCAGGAGAGCTATAAAAGCCGACCTCATCTCCTTAAAACAGGCAGGGCTGTCCCTGGGCTTCTTAACACAACTCATCAACTGTTAAACCAGAGAGAGGCAGAGCAGTAAAAATCAATGCCCCCCAACACGGCAAACAGCAGTCAATGATGTTAGGTGGAAGAGGAAAGAGCGAGAATTTGCAGCAGCGTCTCGAGCTGTAAGGAGAAGCGAGGAGGAGGGAGAGGAGGAAGGAGAAAAGTCCATGTTAAGCTAAAAGCGGCAGGCTAATATATGTAATTGATTACCTCTATGCAAATAGAAGAACTCTAAAAACCAGAGAATGCAATTTAAAGCAGCAGAGTCTCTGAAATCGATTGGCGCTGTGAGTGAGAGAAGCCATTTCCCTGTAGCCAAGATAAAACACTTTACTAGGAGCTGTCAGATACTTATCAGGAGGAAATTAGCAGAGGAATACCATTTTCCCAAAACAAACAGGTCAAGTGTTTCTCCCCCTCCTTGAGTAGTCTCTCCCTCTCCTTCACTCTCACCCACTCTGATATCATCATCTGTTATTTCCTCCCGTTTAAATGCCAACAGTGAAGAGGCCGGGGCTGCATTTCATTCAAACAGATCATTTGTAATAAAAAAAAAAACATGCAGGCAGGCCATGCGCGCCGGCAGGAGCAGGTTGTTATTTGAAACGGAGAAGATGAGGTCTCCAGTTTGCCTCGGCTCCCGGGAGCAACCCCAGAGCCTGCCAGCGCCCGCACGTACACACTGACGCAAGTCCGTCCTGAATCTCTGAGCCAGATCTCACCAAAACACTATTTGCGTTTTTTGGCCTGCAGTCTGTGTTCTTGGCTGAAAAAAAAAAAAAAAAGGAAGAAATAAAGAAAACACACATAGAACAGAGCACAAAGAGATGTGACGAAGGCAGCAGCCCACACAAGACAGCCTCGTCGGAGAGAGAGGAGGGCAGCACGGCGTCAACATCAACACCGGTTCTGCAGTCATCGCTCAGCAGGTAATTATG